CAAATAGGGAAAATAGGTTTCTTTTCAAATCTTGTTTATTTGTATTTTTCAGCCATGGGTCAGACACTGTCTGAGCCAGTGACGACCAAGTTCTCTTCCAAGCATGAGAATAGCTTTGTCAAGGTGGGATCCTCCTGCATGCAGGGATGGAGAATCAGTATCCTTTTAAGGAAACAATAAGGGTGGGAAAGAGAGAGAGAGAGAAAGAGATGGAGAAACACAAACAACCAGACAGAATGACTGACAAAGAAAATGGAGAATTTTAATTTGATTATTCAGTTGAAATTGTTAAAAAAGACCACCGACTGTCGAAGAAATTGGTGGATGTCTTGGACTGTATCATTATAATAGAAAAATAATGCAAGGGTGGAAGTGGGAAGCAGCCGTTTGTATTGTCGGTTGTCTTGGATAGATGGCCGTTAGAGCAAGTTCAACTGTATTATTTACATTACTTCAAGGCCCAAGATAAATCTGAGTTGCAAAAGTTGCAAAAGAAATATACTGCATTGACAAGACATTTCATGTCATTGCAGATTTACTTGTACATTGCTCAAACATAAGAACTGTTTATGTTTTGTTGTGAACTATGATTGGGTGAGTAAAACTTTTTAGCCATCGTCGGTATATCTTGCATCCTTATACCTAAAGATATAGAATAAAATGCAGGTCTTCTGCTATTTCATTCATGTGACACACTTTGCACACTCTTTTCCTCCAGCAGTCATATCCATCTTTGAACGATGACTTCCAACCTGCAATTGGCTTGTTGTAGTCGAGGGAAAGGTAGAAAGATAGGGGGGGGGGGGTAGCGGAGAAGGAGAGATATATTTGTTGTAGATGTTTGGCAACCTCATCAACGCTCTAAATTTAGAGTATTTTGGTCACATGGGTTGTTGTTTTTTCAACCTTATGGGCCAACCTTGATGGTGTGTAAATGTTTTGCCTAGCTATATCTGTGGTGTAGTGGTTAGGCATTGTGCAATCTCATGCAGAAGACCTGGGTTCAATGTCCGTGAGGGGAGAATTTTTATCTAATATCTCTGTCTTTCTGCTGGTACATTGTGTCCTTCTCGGCTGATATATATGGCCCGGACAAGAAGGGCTGAAGTTCACCTCCAAAGTGGTCTAAATTATGGTCTTGATTAAAAACGCCTACGCTTTGAAAGAGAGAGAGGGGGAGATGGGGCTGGGAAGAATAGGAGGAGGATTGCAAATGGAAGGAAGAGACATGTGAGAAAGAAAGAAGGACAGAGAAAAGAAGTAATGGGTAATGATATACCCTGAGTGTTGAAAGACATGTGTTATGTTGCAGTAGGTTTTTATTTTATTGTCAGTTTCCCTGTCTGGCATAATAGTATGTCTGATGCATAATCCTGATGTACCAAGATTCTTGTTCGTCATTTAGTCTGGACTGGGGTAAAAGAAATAAATTTGGTCAGTGTTCGTATGGTCTCCAGTTGTCCACAGAGTATAATTGTGATACTGAGCATGTGAAAGAGACAAAAATGTAGAAATATTGTGGTGGGATACTCTGGTTTTTCTTAATGGTGATCAGATATGGAAGATGCACACAGTCATCTACTGAGCCTGCCCGATGACAAGGAGGCCTGTTTCTTTGGAGTATTTGACGGGCATGGAGGTGAGTTACCTGTGATTGTAGTAGAAAGTCAGGTTGATGTAAAAGGTCATTATCTTTTCCCTCTCCAGTGGAAGGCACAAATGGCTTTAACTGTTTCAGTACGTAAGGGATTCTACAAACAATTCCCCCCC